TGTGGGCCAAGCTACCTTGAACCGAGACAGTGTTTGCCTGTGGGCCAAGCTACATCAAACATAACATCTATTGCAAGTGTGCGATACTGCATTGACAGTGTGAATGTACATGTACATGTACACTGTACATATTGGCGTTCTGCCGATGACGTCATCAAATCAGCCTGGGAGCGTGAACGCCCAAAATAAAATGGGGATTTTTTGTGGGCAGGGAAACACAGGATCTTTTTAATCATTTTTGGGTCGCGATTAATGGGGTAAACATTATGAATTTGTGATATTTTTGAAATGGTTACAAATTTACTGTTATTTTGAAATACTTCATGTGAACTAAATGCTTTCAATTTCTGTTAAACTTTTAATTAAGACATGTTTTTCTTGCGTCCCTTGAATGTGTTTCCCTCAATGCCAAACGCAACTCAGTCATTATATTTGAACAAACAGTTTTACTCCCAGCTCGTTCTATCACGGCTTACTCCCTCCAAGAATTTAAAGTTGTGTAAAGGCACGACCTCATACATGAACTCAGCATTTCAACTAAGAAATTCAGTGTGGCATTTGTTGATTTCCTCGGAAAGAGGCCAACTTTTTGCCTGATTTTATTGGCATAACATTTGCATGTGAGATGTAGCATTCACCACATTTTCAATCTTTGAGGATTCATTGTTACACAATTCCTTAATGCACAATTTTAAATTTTGTCCTGTTAAAAAAAATGAAGTATTTGAATAGGATCAGTTATTGCTGAAAAAACTTACACTTGTAAAAGAATGAACCCGACACCTTTCCAAGTAATTTTGTCCCCTGCCTTAATATGTGTGCTGAATCTTCAGAGCACAGATAAAAGTTTTGGAAGTATTCCCCGTATTAAACTGATATTTGGGGGCCACACTTTTCAAACAAAAAAATAGGCTTTGATTCTGATTTAGATTTCCATTCCCCTAGCCCCCCCGGCCACCCTGTGACCCAAATAAAGCAGCAGGGACTTTTAAAAGGCTGATGTGTCACCTTGCCTGTCTGTGCTTGGGCCTTCAAAGTATTTTAAAAGTAGGTACCAACAACCACATCTTCATCCCATGAGAGAAAAAAAACTCCATTGCTTATGAAAGGCAGTTGTTCTGGTATAAGTTCTACTTGAGAACTCTTTGTTTGGGGAATTGCTAAAAATGAAAAAAAAAAAGGATTCGGCATTGTTCAATGAATTTTCTGTGGTTCAGAGACTTGATAGTAAGAAAGTTAGAAATGGCTTAGAAGCAGCTGCAGCAATATCTGGCAGTGTCTGAGTTATTGGTCGTTCCTCTTACTGGTACAATTGACTACAATTTTTGTTTGATGTAATCCATTGCACTGGCTAAAATCAAAACAAATATACACTTCTTGAAACTATGTACTTCTGAAATTAACAAGCTACATGTATTACGCATTATATAATCAACAATTGGTGACAGATTAGTTATTACAACTGCCTATGTTAAGATTACTGGCATTTAGTCACCATATAAAAAAATCTTATTACACACTTTAATGCATGAATTTGTCCATTAAAATGAATATAATGCAGAGTAAAGCCTTCTGTTGGCAGTGTTGGCTTACTATTGTGAACACTTATCTTGACAGCTGGGGGGGGTATGTGGCTTCCAATCATAGGGTTGGAGGTTCGAGTCCAGCTGCTGGCAGTATGTTGTGGCCCTTAGCAAGCCACTTGCCTCTCTCCACCCAGGAGTATAAATGGGTACCAGCATTACCTGGGGAAAAAACTTGCGATGGACCGGCAATAGGGGGAATAGAAATATTCTCAGTCGTTTCAGGTCAAAGAAACATCTAATGTCATGATAACACACTTCGATCACTGCTATGGGTAAACTCATGTGCTGGCATGTTAAAATCTGTCATGGTATTACCCAATCCACTGTCACAGTAACCTTGTGTACTGCCATGGCAACCTCATCCACTGCCACAGTAACCTTGTGTACTGCCATGGCAACCTCATCCACTGCCACAGTAACCTTGTGTACTGCCATGGCAACCTCATCCACTGCCACAGTTTAACTCCGCTCCTGCTTGCTCCTCATCAGCAGCTCTTTGGTCTTCATCTCTCTCTGCCTCTTCTCGGCCTGGGATGCCAGCCAGCTCTCACAGATGGTTTTCATCTGTGCCTGGCTGGGCCCTGCTCGCTGGGCGGCACTCAGGATCCGCTGGACGTCCTCCACCCGCTCTGCCTTGACGGCAATGAGGTAGGCCGACTTGAGCTTGCCGCACAGCATCAGGGCATTGATCTGAGCACAAACACAGGAATGCCTTCCATGAAGAATCTCTCACATTTCAATCACTTGGGAAAACAATGACCAGGAGACAGGGCAGGTGTGGAAAAAAATCAACTAAAAAAACCAAACAAAACAAATCCCCCAAACAATGTAAAGAGTTCGTTAAGACATCTAACGCAGATGCAACTTCAGCATTTCAACAGCAAGTGGTCATTAAGATTTGACAATTTTCTTTCAGGACGAACATTTAGATACGTGCATACAAACTCCTGACAGAAGTGAACAGAATCAAGTCAACAGAAGTAACATGAATTGCCTATTCTGAGAGAGAGAGGGAGCTCGTCTCATTGAATAGTGTCAAAGGTTGACAATGAGGAGGCTGTCAGCCTGGGACTTGCATAATTTTAGTAGCCTTGGTTAAGCCCAGGCAGGGTTTCTAGCCAAAACATCCTGGGAGGGTTAGTGCTTGCAGTAGTATAAAGAAGCATAGGCATCACTTCAAAGATGGTCCAATGAACTAATCCTTCCAGTTCTGAATCCTGACCTCTACTACTTAAGTCCCCCACATCAGCATGAGTCTGGCTGTCTCCCGATGACAAAACACAGCACACTGTTTGAAATAACTAGTTCTTCTTAGAACCACAAATCCTCCAAACGTACTTCCATGGCGTTACTGCAAACTTTCCAGATTTTATCATCTTCCTGTTCCCCCCCCCCAAAAAAGGATCAGTTCTATTGACTGGATATACCTTGTTGGTGTCACTCTTGATGAGTTTTATCAGGCCCTCCACCTCCTTTGTCTGGCTGCTATCACTGGCTAACACTCTGACACAGGCGTCCAGTATCTCATCGCAGCACTGGTCATTGGACAGCCCGGTATTCCGCACACAGACCAGCAGCTGATGGATGTCTTTGTACTTGTGCTGCGCAGCTAGCCGCCGACCAATGTGGCTGTATATCAGTGTGTCGGGAAGACGGAAGTCCTGGAAACAAATTTGAACGCAGAAAGTAAAAACAGAACAGAAAACAAACAATTAGAAGCAAACTTATTAACTATTCTGCAATTCCAGATTTCAGGACCTGATATCGTAAATCACAGCATGTATTGCATTGGCTGTTCAGAACATTTTGCCAACTGGTAATAACAATAACGTCAAAATAACTCTCTTCATTTTATACGACAGATTCCCCAGAACAACACTGCAATGCCCGTTCCATCTATGAATCAATAACTACTCTAATTGTTAATAATTAATCATTTCTAGGCGCAGCTTCTCTGTTTAGTTTGCAGTTGAATACAAGCAGATCTATTCTCTCACCTGAATGATCTGGAATGCCATCAGGAAGCCATCATTCACCGATGGACCAGCCAGAAGAACCTAAAATCAATCCATAACATGAATCTATTGAACAAGGCAAGGACCTTCCTTTCAAAAGTTTACAGGCAAGTTTAAACACCTACAGCTATTGCACAAAAAAGCCATCTTGAAATTTCAAATAATGCCAATTCCTTGTGGTACCTACACGACCAGTGCCATTTTTGACAAGTTCAATTTTGTTTCTAGTTAAGTGCAACAAGCTTTGAGACCATTTTTTTAATATTCTGCTCAGGAAAACAGATTGCACAGCAAAAGTCAGCTGCTGGTAACCTGTTTTTGTTGCTATAAAGCAAGGTTCTCTGTGCTTATCCACCCCATGTTGAATGTGCATCCCCAAGCAGCAAAAGAAAGACAGATGGTGGTTAAGTTTTCTTGCACGCGTTCTGCATGTACATAAAGACCATACATTATGGGATAAATCTGGTGTGCACAACATGCTCCGCATCAAACGCGCTATTGATCCCATTTTAAATGCACGCTTATACAGTGAGTACCCAATAAACACGCCCTCTTTTGTTGTGCTCGGAGTGGATTACTTTCACATGCTGTGCAGCATAGTACTGATTCCACTGCCACCTGCAAAAATCGTTTTGTGGCCAGAAACCAAGCTTCATGAGATTGACCAATGATAAAAACGGCTGAAAACAGCTGAAAAATGGCATGAAGAAGCTGAACTGTGAAAATCTCCTATACTTTTGTACACAGCCAGTGAGGAAAAAAAGCTGAAATCAGCTAGAAAGGTGAGAAATCTTACCCTTGATCATCATACTCATCAGGATAAGCCACTCTAGAAATGCGACACATCTGAACCCTGATTCACTGATGGGTCACGACTCAAAAAGCCCGCTCCACGGGTCACTTTTTAGGTTCAAAATACTAGCTGGGCACTCACCCTGTAGGCCACCTCGGCCTTGACCTTGCTATTGCCAAACAGTGTGGGTAGCTGCTCCCCACGGCCGGGCTCCGCCCCCTGGCTGGAACCTAGCAGGGAAGACTTCCCTGATGATGCCATCCTATGCAGGAGCTTGGTGACCTCTATCTGCTGGCTGATGGTGTTCATGTGACTGCGACAGAGAAAGATGAGTGGTTTAATGACCAAGCATCCACAACACAACTCGCAAGGGACTGTAATACGAAGTTCACACTCAAACATAGTTTGGGCAAACGATCTCTGCATTTGAATATTGTAGAGATCCAGGATAGAATTTTCTCCATGAAAACACAGATGACAATCCAAGAGGACTCACAGCCCCTTGTCCAAACAACTTACAATCACTGATTTTTTTTCTAGAAATCCCCCATACCCCATCAATTAATTTAAATTGAGACTTTTCACAATTTTCAAGCCTGAATCCTTTCATTATTGATTAAAAAATCATTTTAAAAAATATAAATAAGCCAGTCTTTTTACAAACATTTATGGACACTTTTTCAGTGTTCATATTGGATCCATTCTAACACTCCAGGACCAAGTCACAGAGTGATATTTGCTACAACAGTGTGTATAATGTGGCCAAGTTGAAAACATATGCATCTAGCCATTCCTGAAAATCAGGTAAAACCCAGAAATTTTTTTTCTTCTCCAGTTGGGGAAAAAGTGAAAATTTGAGAAAATGCTTCAAATCGAGGAAAAGTCTGGGAATTTGATAAGGTCAAAAAGAGAAAATGTGATGCCTCTCAGGCTCCACTGCAACATGGAAAACAGGAAATTGGTTGAAACAATTAGACTGGGGAATTTTGGAAACTCCTAAAGGAACACTCATGGAAATATCAGGGAATTCTTCTTTTATACAATGTGGGAACCCTGTTTGTGTAAGTTGTGTGAATAAAAAAACATATGGCAAATTGACAGCACAATGCCTGATCATGTCTTCCGTGAGACTTTCACTGAAAATCATTGTGGGTGAACAGTCCTCGGGCGTTTAATAATACGGCTCCTTACTTTGTAAGTTGAGAGGGTGTCATCATCAGCCTAATGTTTGCATCGCTAGCTGGTGCCCAAGACGGAGTGCTGCCTTTGGCTATGGAGCTGGTCATGGGTGGCCTCGGAACACTGTCCCACTGCTTCTCGTCCAGCACAGCCTTCATATGCTCCTTGGCTTTAGTCAGGTAGTGGAGGCGGTCAAAGAGGTCCGAGTAGGTCTTGGCACCAGACTGGTAGAACTTGATGCAGGTCATGGATGCGCGGACAAAATCCTAAGGGAACAAGGGATGAATATGAAGAAAGGATAAGAGATAAGAACAGTGTTTCCAGCCTCTCGTTTTCGACCAAATTCTTAGAAATTATTATTATTAAAGGCATTATATGGGTGTATGCATCAAAGGATCTACATTTGAATTGTCCCACTGTCCGCATGGTAACAGGTAAAATACTTTGAAACACTTTCGCCAACTAGACATCATTTCTTACTGTCACCAGCAAACACGGCCAATCCAACAAAAAAAGCTACAAATGATTTTTTCCAGAATACACCATGGAAATACCGTCTCTATCAGAGATTCTCATTGGCCTAGTCCACTGTTTACGCACGAAAACGTTTACCTTCATGAAGAGCTGTACATTGTAGAGAACATGAGCCAAACTGTGGGCGTTGAGGTATCGACACATCACCGTGAGGTAGTTGTTCCAGGCGGCCAAGGTGGGATCCTGGTGCAGCATCTCGGTCTGCAGGTCACGTAACTTGCCCTGCTTCATGCAGGGTACCAGCAGACCCTCCAGGAAGACTTCGCTGGAACAGTGCTGTGGAAATCGACAGTTTCAGTTTTTGGACGTTATTACACGCTCATGTGGAGAACATTGTGTTTCAAAGAGCAGCGGGTAATGAGGGGGCAGGGCCTCAAACTTTGTCCAGGTTCATGGGTGAAAATCTTTTAATGAGATAAATATTTTAATGAATCCTTTTCCAAGTTGTTGGCAATTGTGTCTGGCTGATATGAATGTTCTCGATATTCAGACCCTCTTTGAAAACAATTTTGCAAGCTCTTCGTTGGAATTATTCCTCATTTGAATAGACCACATATCTGGAGTGAAATGCGACTAGAAACAACAAGCAAGTCACATGGACGGTTATTGTCCAATCAAACTGAAGATCACTGAATAGAAGCAGGCAACAGTCTTTAGCTTGGGTAATAACTTGATCAGACTTAGGAGATGTTAAGGAAGCAATGGACATGCAGACCCTTTGCCACTTTGGGATCGCTAGTTAAAGCAGATTTTGTCTCTGAGGTAAGCATGTTCTCAGCGGTGGCCTCCTTGGCAGAAAACAGTGCCCTCAGTAGAGAAATGAACGTTTGTACATGTACCCAGCGATCTTTCAACCACAGATTTGCTTGTGCCATAAAAAGCATGTTTCAATTCCAGAGTGCATCTGACATTAAAGTGTGGCACCGGGCAGTCATGTCTACTTTAAGTGGCATGGCCTAGTTAGTCTACTGACAGCTACTAGTCCCAGACGGGAATCTGTCTCTACCTGGTGTAGGATGTACGAGACGGCCAACGACAACCTGTTGTGTTGATGGTAGAACTGCACCATGGAGATGTGAGGGCAGTAGGTGGTTATGTAAAAGTGGCATTCTTGGAGAGCTGGATTGTCCAAGGGGTTGCCAGTGAATGAGGCCTATGTAGGCAGAAATTACATCCAAAAATTTAAGCCTTTTCCTCTTTAATACCAGGCTGTGAATGGAAATACTTTATTCCTGTGTAGACTTCTTTTCAAAATGTTTGGTACTTTTACTTTGGACTATTTAAACTCCCTTGCAATACAGCTGTGTAGCAGTTAAATGCATCCCAAGTATTTCATAGTAATCAGAAATCTTCATAAGTAATTATGTCTTTACAAGAAGTCAGAAGTCTTCATAAGATGTCACGTCTTCACAAGTATTCACAAGTCTTGTCCAATGGAATAAGTAGTCACAAGTCTTTCACAAGTAGTCACAAGTCTTTCTAAGACTTCACAAGACATCACAAGTCTTCAAAAGTAGTCATAAGTCTTTCACAAGAAAACACAAGGAATCTGAAGCAGCCTTGTTTCAATGTTACCCCAAAGCTACTCCACACATTAGAGTTGAACAAAGACATTTTGTTATTACAGCTTACTAACCATTGGGGAAAGTAATTGATAGCAATACTTATGAAAACTAGTGAAAAACACTATGAAATACTGACCGTGACCGTGAAAAAAATTGGTTAAATCAGGTATCTCTGATTGCAGAAAGAAAACCCCACTGCCAGAAAATAACAGAAAAGTAACTAGTCATACAAAAATTTGAATTCTGAAGAAGAGCTTGAATACAGGTTTCAACCTAACCACTCAGACTTCGTGCACAAACTGTTCAGGGCGGTATTTTGTGGACTCCCAGGACACTTACAGTGTAACCAATCTCTACCCTTCATAGTGAAACCAAACAATGTCCCAGCTGGAGTGCACAATAATACAGCATAGGATGTGCTCTCACCAAAAGAATGTCTACATCATAACTATAAGTGTCTGGACACGTTTAAAGGCGCAGTAAAAATGCTTACACTTGTTGGTTCTGCTATGAAGTCTCTGATGGAGGTCACCGAGGCACTCAGGATTGCTTGAGCCTGTCAGAATGACCAATTTTTCGGGGAATAAGCAACTCAATGAACTTGAATTTCAAGGGTTACGGTCGAGCAACGATGAGCACTTATTACAGTACTGACATCTGTGGAGAGCAGTTACAGAATTTACAGAAAATCCTAACTCAATCACTTAGTCAATCATGAAAACGACTAAAGAGGAACACCATGAGAAATGTAGGTGATTGGACATGAGGAAGTCAGAACAACAAGTTTTCACCAAAATAATTAACTCAATAAAATTGAAAGTATCACTGTACAAGCACTGGCAGAATAAACAAAACATAATAAACACAAACAAAACTCCTAATTGAATAAATTAGTTGATCACAAAAAAAGAAGAAAGGAAAAAGAACGAGAACTGTTGATGTTTCACACCGTGTCAGCTTGGGATGCTGATGTCTCCAGATACTGTATAATGTCGGTTAGCAGTTTGGAGGTCACACTCATCACGTTCTTGTCACTTGGTGGCTACAAAAGACAACGTGGGGGGAAACTGTTGACAAACGTGTTTCCATGGCCTCAGACATAAACAAATGGAAAGAACCGTAAGCATCATCCTTAAGGGATACCACACAAAATTTTGAAGAGATGGTCAGATCTGAGAGGGGTGACAGAACTCAACTCACAAACCAGGCTTGCTCTGAAATAAAGCAACTGTCCACTCAACACATAAGTCAAGATTTCTCAATAAGTGATATCCACAGCCAAAATCATACAGCTACGTACCAGTCATTAGCAAAATACATTTCCCTAACTTTCTGGCAAGTAACCTTTCTCTGCTAAGCAAATTAGCATGTGCTAAGTCTAGCTACCTTGAGTATCCTGGCAAACTTCTCCCTTGCTCCCTGGTAGTCGCCAGCCCTCAGACAGCTGATTCCCCATGCTGACCAGACAGCCGATGCATCCAGGCCGCATTTTGTGGATACCTCCGCCGCCAGCTGCAGCCGCTCTGCAAGGACCAGACGATCCCTCACTTGCCTGAAACATGACAATGACAGACTTTCTCATAGTGGTTTCAAAGAAGACAGTCAGGGCGGAAGAGGAGGTGGGCTTACAGAAATCTTTGTAAATGCAGATCCAAGTCACAAGCAAACTCAATAAATCAACAGACCTCCTGTAACTGTTCCTTCCACTTTAATCCACCACAGGGAAGTTAATCAGAAGTCAAATGTAAGGTTTGGTCAAGAGATAGTTCACACGGGATGAACAATGGCAAAGGAATGAAAGGAATTCTTTACTTGTTTATGTAAATAAATGTGACTTGACATATAACTGAATGACTTGGGATTGACTAGTGATCAATTGAGACTTGGTTAAACTTCCCCATATCTTCCTGTGTTTCTCGATACTCATAATAGAGTAAGTGCTTGTGACTCAATCTGCAGAGTTAGCAATACAAAGCTGATAAATGCTTAGTATGTAAGCCTTCTTACTCTTAACAGACTCAGTTGATTCAAAAGCTCAAACAGTTGTCCCATTCACAATGGTGTCACTCAACATAACATACACTCATTAATCAAGTACTAATTACTCACCTTGCAGAGCTCAAACAGTTGTCCCACCCATGATGGTGTCACTTAACACAACATACACTCATTAATCAAGTACTCATTACTCACCTTGCAGAGCTCAAACAGTTGTCCCACTCACAATGGTGTCAATCAACATAACATGCCCATTAATCAAGTACTCGTTACTCACCTTGCAGTGTCAACAATACAGAACTGATGAATGCCAAGTCTGACCGCTTTCTAACTCCTTACAGATTCAACCTGGAAGGAAAGATCTTATGCTTGTCCCTTATCATAATGTAGTCTCTCAAAGCAGAGTAAGCACTCGTTACTCAAGTACTCCTTACTCACCTTGCTGAGTCAGCATTAGCCAGCTGTTGTATGCTGGGTATGTCAGCACAGTTACTCCTGACAAACAAACTCAGCAGATCCACAAAGCTCCTGTAGCTGTCACATAGCTCAATGCTACTGCTGTCGCCATCTTTGATGAAATGCAGCTTGGCATTAAACAGGAGAGTCTTCATCATACTATCAAATGAAAAAGTAATAGTATTTGGAAAGATGGGGAAAAGTAGACTGTGTGATACATTCAATTGGGTTTAAATTAGTCTGACGAAAGGTTAATTCTTTTACAAACTGACATAATACTCTAAGTCTTATTTGATGTCGACAAAGGATTCCTTTAAACAAGTCGCAAATCTGATAGACAGGCAAAATATTTTTAAATTGAAATTGTTATTCTCCTGTTTACAAAACTGTCAATATGTATAGATAAGCATTTCTTTATAACTAATTTTCTTAAGAGGGCCAGAAAAATCACAAAAATGTTCCTTATTTAAATTATTAAAATTGTCATCACTTCTCCAGATTTGTTGAGACTAAGTTAATTTATCAACGTATCCAAGTGTAACCAATCTTTAGTTTAACTACCAGGAAATAAAAGATACAGGTAAAATTCATTACTGTCACAACACCAGGTTTGTGGTCTCGATTCATCACCTTATGATGAGGTTGTAGTCTACTTCTGGGTTGGGCACGCCTGGTCGGATTGGTCTTAAATACTCCGACAGGTCTCGGCATATTTGTAGGATCAGCGTGCCGCAGGTGCTGTGGTCACTATGAAGGTCCAGAATGGACAGGCACACCGATGTACTTGGAGCCTATCAAGGTGGGAAACCGGAATAAGTAGGAAACTGAACAAAAATTACTGGAATGAGCAAGGAGAGTGACTAGGATTGAGGATGGTTAGATGAGGCGAGGGTGATGGGGAGAACTGGAACAGGTCAACGGGAAGAGGCTAGATGAGGTTAGTTGATGACTGATGTAGCCCGTTGCAACGTGAACAGAGACGGTAAAGTGACAGCGGAAACTGCTTTAGGGTACACTTGAAAAAGGCAAGATGAGGTAAGGTGAGAGACCACACTGGTAAGAAATACAGGTGGGAGGAGTTAAGGCTATGGATCATGCTGGGACCATAGAAAGAGGCTACACGAAGTAAACTGATGGTTGATCAAGCTGGTAAGAGTCTGTCAGACAGGGGCTTAATGAGATTAAGCGATGGATCAAGCTGGTTAGAGTATGCTGTAGTGAGGCTATGTGAGGTGAGGTGAAGACTGGTGAATTTGGTAGGAATGTGCTGGACTAAGGATAGACAAGTCAGGGTGATAGATCAAGCTTGCAAATGTATACTGGACAGATGTTAGACCAGGTAAGGTGATGACAGGTGAATCTGGTAAAGAA